GCACGGAATGGGTATGGGACACCCATGACATCAAATGCTGTGCGCATGGAAGCTGGTGAGAGTTAGGGCTTGAGCCCAGACCTGGGGTGGGGATTGGCGTCTGCTTTTCATCCTGCCATTGGTGATCCTGTTGGTACCGTGAGTGAGTATCCTGGTGCTTGACTTCTCATTTGTGTCTCACAGTGGAGCGGAATGTGGGGGTCATCGTGGCAGCTGTCCTTGTAACCCTGATTCTCCTGGGAATCTTGATTTTTGGCATCTGGTTTGCCTATAGCCGAGGTCACTTTGACAGTAAGTATCTGCCCGCAGAGGCTCTCCTTTGTACTGCCCCCATCCCAGGGCCTGGCATGGGTGTCATCTGAGTACTGACCCTGATACTGTGCTCATGTGTGTGGGTGTTGTCCCCTGGGGAACACTGATCACCCATCTAACACACACCAAGAGCTGGGGGCCTGCCCCTCCATCTTCCCAAGCCATGCTGTCTTCTGTCCTGCTGTCACTCATGATCCCATTTCTTCTCTTTCAGGAACAAAGAAAGGGTGAGTGAGGTGCTGTCCTGGGGTTCTCCAAGTTTGAGAGCATGGATGCATGCCGTTTGAAGCTGAAGTGGGCCCGGGGGAATGGGTTGAAGGCAGAAGCAACCAGTTTGGAGGGAAGGCATCTGGATATCCAGCCCTTTCTCTGTGCCCTTGGCCCTGGGCCTGTCCTGTTTCCCCCCACCCATGCCTTTCTGCTGCGCACTCTGTGCTTCTGTAGCATTCTCGGTTCTGGCCTTTAAAGTTGGCAAGGAGAGGTAATAAGCACCTAGGTGGCTGAGTGTCTCTGTCTTCTGGCTTGTTCACAGGACTTCGAGTAAGAAGGTGATTTACAGCCAGCCTAGTGCTCGAAGTGAAGTGAGTATGCCTGCCCTGGGCAGGGGTGGGCTACCTGGGGCTGGAGTGAGGAGATTTCTAGCCCATGTTTATGTGTTTTGGGGATTATCAGCTAAAGAAGACTATTGAGAGTTGACCGGATGTTTTATTTCTGCAGGGGGAATTCAAACAGACCTCGTCATTCCTGGTGTGAGCCTGGTCGGGCTCACCGCCTGTCATCTGCACTTGCCTCACTCAGGTGCTACCAGACTCTGGCCCCTGATGTCTATAGTTTCACAGGATGCCTTATTTGTCTTCTACACCCCACACGGCCCCCTACTTCTTCGGATGTGTTTTTAATAATGTCAACTATGTGCCCCTTCCTCCTTCATTCTCTCCCTTCCTTTCCTACTTGTTTAAAGTGTTTATTCCCCATTTCTATGAGGGATCAGGCAGGAATCCTGGGTATGCCATTGACTTCCCTTCTAAACAGACAGCAAAAATGGTGGGGCTCCCAGGAATCTGCACTCAACTGCCCACATGGCCGGCAGAGATCTTTAAATAGGGATCTTGAACTTGGTTCTGGGCTCTTTCCTTGTGTACTGAGGACCGGGGCCAGCTGTTCTAGAGTAGGGATTAGAGGCTAGAGCAGCTGAAATGGTTGTCTGGTGATGACACTGGGGTCCTTCCATCTCTGGGGCCCACTCTGTTCTGTCTTCCCATGGGAAGTCCCTCTGCCCTGTCCTCCTCTTGAATACAAGCCGACTGACATTGACTGTGTCTGTGGAAAATGGGAGCTCTTGTTGTGGAGAGCATAGTAAATTTTCAGAGAACGTGAAGTGAAAAATATTTAAAACCACTGCTCTAAAGAAAAGAAAACTGCAGGCTGGGCGTGGTGGCTCACGCCTATAATCCCAGAGGCCGAGGCAGGTGGATCATCTGAGGTCAGGAGTTCAAAATCAGTCTGACCAACATGGAGAAACCCTACTAAAAATACAAAATGAGCCAGGCATGGTGGTACATGCCTGTAATCCCAGCTGCTCGTGAGCCTGGTAACAAAAGCGAAACTGTATCTCAAAAAAAAAAAAAAAAAAAAAGGGAAAGAAAGAATAGAAAAGAAAGCTGGAGCTGGTGGCTCAGGCCATCACCCTTCCCTTGGCTGGAACTATTGGACAGACCCTTTTGAGATGTGCTCGTGGTGTTATGGAGATGTGTGTAGTGGTCTTAGCTCTTTGTTGAGCCTGTGTGTGTGTTGTGCGGTCTTAGCTGTATGCTGAAATTGGGCGTGTGTTGGAGGGCTTCTTAGCTCTTTGGTGAGATTGTATTTCTATGTGTTTCTATCAGCTGGATGTTGCTGGAAATAAAACCTTGGTTTGTCAAGGCTCTTTTTGTGGGAAGTAAGTAGGGGAAAAAGTCTTTGAGGGTTCCTGGGCTCCTTTGTACAACAGGAAAATGCCTCAAAGCCTTGCTTCCCAGCAACCTGGGGCTGGTTCCTAGTGCCTGGTCCTGCCCCTTCCGGGTTCTTATCTCAAGGCAGAGCTTCTGAATTTCAGGCCCTCATTCCAGAGCCCTCTTGTGGCCAGGCCTTCCTTTGCTGGAGGAAGGTACTCAGGGTGAAGCTGATGCTGTACTTGGGGGATCTACTTGGCCTGTTCCACCAAGTGAGAGGAGAAAGTACTTACTCTTGTACCTCCTGTCCAGCCAGGTACATTAACAGACCTCCCTATGGCTGTAGGAACTACTGTCCCAGAGCTGAGGTGGGGAGATTTCTCAGGTCATTTGGAGAACAAGTGCTTTAGTAGTAGTTTAAAGTAGTAACTGCTACTATATTTAGTGGGGTAGAGTTCAGAAGAAATTTGAAGACCAGATCATGGGTGGTCTGCATGTGAATAAATGCGAATGGGCAGGACAGGCCTGGCTATCATTGCTTTCCTCCTCCCCATTTGGACCCTTTGCCCTTACATTTTTGTTTCTGCATCTACCACCATCCCACCAGTCTATTAACTTAGCAAGAGGACAAATAAAGGGCCCTCTTGGCTTGATTTTGCTTCTTTCTTTCTGTGGAGGATATACTGAGTGCCACTTTGCCCTGTCCTATTTGGAAATCCTTAACAACTGAGTTTTCTATTAAGGATCCAACAAGAAAAACAAAATGCTAATGAAGCCATCGGTTAAGGGTCACATGCCAATAAAAAATAAATTTTCCAGAAGAAATGAAATCCAACTAGACAAAGTAGAGCTTATGAAATGGTTCAGTAAGGATGAGTTTTTTTTTTTTTTTTAAGATGGAGTCTCACTCTGTCACCCAGGCTGGAGTGCAGTGGTGTGATCACCCGTCTTCCAGGTTCAAGCCATTCTCCTGCCTCAGTCTCCTGAGTAGCTGGGATTACAGGTGCATGCCACCATGCCTGGCTAATTTTTGTATTTTTAGTAGAGACAGGGTTTCACCATGTTGGTCCAGCTGGTCTCAAACTCCTGACCTCTTGATCCACCTGCCTCGGCCTCCCAAAGTGGTGGGATTACAGGTGTGAGCCACCGTGCATAGCCAAGGATGAGATTTTTAAAGTATATTTCAGTTCTGTGTCATGGTTGGAAGAGACAGTAGAAGGGATATGGAAAAGGTCATGGGGAAGCAGAGATGATTCATGGCTCTGTGAATTTGAGGTGAATGGTTCCTTGTTGTCTAGGTCACTTGTGAAGAATGTGAGTCAGTTATTACCAGCCTTGGAATTTACTTCTATAGCTTACAACAGACCTTTTGAACTGGAAAACACCTTGTCTGCATTCACTTTAAAATGTCAAAACTAATTTTTGTAATAAATGTTTATTTTTCACATTGAGTTTGTTTAAATCCTGAAGTTCTTACCTTAAGAGAATTGGGACTCCTAGAGTGATTGGACATTCGAAATATTCCTGATAGTCTTGTTAATGAAGAGATTAGGATATCTTTCCATTACCTTGATAATTACATTTTAATTTAGCTTTTTTCATTGGCCTGTGTTTGAATGCGAATAACCCCAAAATGGACATTTCCTATGTTAAAGTGACATTTAGGAGATAGAAAATGAGAGCAGTTCCATGGATTTTGGTGTTTCCCCTGAGACATGAACTCAGCATACTCTGGGATAAAATGATTGAGTGTTAAGGATGTGTTTGTTGTTCCTGTCGTTTTTAAATTTTCTTCAGAGTATACAACATGGTTTGATATGCATATACATTTGTGTAATGATTGCCATGGTCAATTAACACATACATCACCTCCCATGTTTTTTTTTGTTTGTTTGTTTTGGTTTTGTTTTTGTTTTCGTGACGGAGTCTTGCTCTGTTGCCAGGCTGGAGTGCAATGGTGTGACCTTGGCTCACTGCAACTTCCACCTCCTGGGTTCAAGCAGTTCTCTTGCCTCAGCCACCCGAGTAGCTGGGAGTACAGGCATGCGCCACCATGCCCAGCTAGTTTTTGTATTTTTAGTAGAGACGGGGTTTCACTGTGTTGGCCAGGATGATCTCGATCTCTTGACCTCGTGATCTGCCCGCCTCGGCCTCCCAAAGTGCTGGGATTACAGGCATGAGTCACTGCACCCAGCCACATCACCTCCCATGTTCTATCTTACATATTCAGAACTTGTTCATCTTGTAACTGAAAGCGTGTACCCTTTGACCAACATTGTTTTTCCTGTCTTAACAGGATCTACAGATCAAGGACAGGGATAGGGGAGGGGATAGTGGAGGAAAATGGAGTTAGTCTGTTTCTGAATGAGGGGACAGTATGTTTCTTGGTACATGAAGACAGCTTAATAAGGTAGACAAATGAAGAAAAACAATTTACATTTAAAAATATCCAATTCTTTAGCTTTTCCAGCTTATTACTCCTTTTCTGGTACTAGCTATGAAAATCTGATATGAAATGGAACTTTTTTTTCTTTTTTTAGACTGAATCTTACTCTGTCACCCAGGCTGGAGTGCAGTGGCACGATCTCAGCTCACTGCAGCCTCGCGCTCTGAGTTCAAGCGATTCTCCTGCCTCAGCCTCCCGAGCAGCTGGGATTACAGGCACCTGCTACCACGCCCGGATAATTTTTTTTTGTAGTTTTAGTGGAGATGGGGTTTCACCATGTTGGCCAGACTGATCTTGAACTCCTGATCTTGTGATCCACCCACCTCAGCCTCCCAAAGTGCTGGGATTACAGGCATGAGCCATCGTGCCCAGCCCATTTTTTCTTACTACTATCATCCGTTAACTTATTTACTAGGTATTATTACTATCTCTGTTTCTCAGATGGGAAGAGAGGCAGAGAAATGCTAAGGAATTTGCCTAAGTTCACACAACCAGTCCTAGGCAAATGGTAGGTCTGGGATTAAGATCCTGGGGAGGGGAGGTTGGGTAACCTATATCCTGCTCAGTGACCCAGAATGGAAAATAATGCAGGAGGAGGAGCTGGAAACAGAAGTTAACATTTTTTGTAGAGATGGGTATGTGGGTTTGAGGAGACAGAACATTAAAAGTAATGCTGGGGCCGGACGCGGTAGCTCATACCTATAAACCCAGCACTTTGGGAGTCTGAGGCAGGCAGATCACTTGAGGTGAGAAGTTCAAGACCAGCCTGGCCAACATGGTGAAACCCTATTTTTATGAAAAATATAAAAATTGCCAGGCGTGGTGGCTCACACTTGTAATCCCAGCACTTTGGGGGAGGCCAAGGGGGCGGATCACTTGAGGTTGGGAGTTCAAGACCAGCCTGATCAACATGGAGAAACCTTGTCTCTACTAAACATACAATAATTAGCTGGGCGTGGTAGTGCATGCCTATAATCTCAGCGACTCCGGAGGCTGAGGCGGGAGAATCGCTTGAACCCGGGAGGCAGAGGTTGCCGTGAGCCAAGATCGCGCCATTGCACTCCAGCCTGGGCAACAAGAGCGAAACTGTCTCAAAAAACAAAAAAACCAAAAATTAACTGGGTGGGGTGGTAGTGTGTGCCTGTAATTGCAGCTACGCGAGAGGCTGAGGCACGAGAGTTGCTTGAACCTGGGAGGAAGGCATCACAGTGAGCCGAGATGGCGCCACTGCACTCTAGCCTGGGTGACAGTGAGACTCAGTCTCAAAAAAAAAAAAAAAGTGATGATGTTTGGCCTGGGGTTTCCTCTGAAGTGTGACAAATCTCACTTGAGTCTGTTATCCTAACAGACTCTGGACAGAGTGAGGCATATTAAGTATGAGGCTTTTGATGAAATGGAGGGCCTATAGTGCAACCTTCTGGAGTAAAGGATAAAACTTAATGCAGTTTTGCTAGTGACCGGGATGAAAAACAGAAGGCATGCATATCATATTTGTGGATGGCAAGGAGTTAGTAGGAATTGCAACATCATCAGTGTGCAGAATGAGGATTCAAATAATCAGGAATGGTAAACTCCAGTTTATTAAATTTTATTGAATTGAAATTCAATAGTAATAAGTCAGATTCTGCCTTTGGGTTCAAAAAGTCAACTCTTCATAGAAAAGTAGGGAAGACATAGAATTTTTAGAACTAGGGGTCACTCTGCTGACGGCACCCTACCCCTGCATCAAGTTCTGTCTTATGTGCCAAACTTTAAGGGCATTATCAACAAATGAATATATTCACAGGAGTGATCTGGAGGGTGAAGGGACCTAAAATTTTGTCATGTAGAAACTTCTGAAAGAATCAGCATTAAGTCCAGAGAATAAAAACTCAGGCAAAACAAAATTATAGTCTAGATATACTGTATTAATAGACTGAAGGGAGAAAATTAGGACCAGTGGATGGGTACTGCTTGTATTAATTCAGAATGTAGTGCCCCTCAGAGATGTAAGGAGGGGGTGTTGTGTACTGGAAAAAATGCTAGTTTCCAAGTCAGACAGACCTTGTTTAATTCCAGACTCTTGGCAAAGTTTTATGTCAGCCTTAGTTTTCTCACTTAAAAAATTGTGGTAATATGTATTCTGCAAAGTTTGGAAACGTAATGTAGCAAGGTCTGTAAATAACTTTGCAGCACCTCAGCTAAGAGCTGTCTATGGTTAATTTTAAATTGGGTATTCTAGGTCAGGGTTGGCTTTCTTTTCTTTCCTTTTTTTTTCTTTTCTTCTTTCGACAGAGTCTCACTCTGTTGCCTAGGCTAGAGGGCAGTGGCGCGATCTCGGTTCACTGCAAGCTCTGCCTCCCGGGTTCACGCCATTCTCCTGCCTCAGCTTTCCAAGTAGCTGGGACTACAGGCGCACACCACCAT